GGTGACACCACGTTGGTGTCGTGCGCAAAACTATCACGCAAAGGCCGGTAACAGCACTGTGGTGCCATTTGTGTTCTGATTGTGTACTGTTGGTGTTCTGTTTAAGTAACAATAAGTTACAGACATAAGCGTGTTTTTTATTTTTATAAGTACTTGTGCCCTTTGATAATGGCAGACGAAAGAGAAGACACGGTTATTCAAAATGAATGCGCGGACAACTTATCTGACGTTCCAATTGAATTTGATGATTGCGAAGAAGTAGAAGACATCTAAAAGAGAAATACTAAGTACCCAATAAAATATTAATAAATAAATAAATATATAATACAAAAAATGTTACATTTATTTACATATACCCTCGAAATTTCATGAAAATAGCGGGACACGATTGAAAACTAATGAGAACTGACGATTTATGATCTCCCGAAAACCTCGAAAAACCGCCAGCACCAAACAAAAAATCCTGATGAAACGTGCGGATAGTAAAGTGTTAAATCCAAAGAAACCTTCTCCTCTGTGTGCACAACGATAAAGTAACTATGACGATATCGTCGTTAGAAGTTACAGAATAGGCTTGCTGGAATCGGATATAAGTCGTTACGCGAAGTACGCACGTTTCTGAAAAAATGTGCATGCCAAAGAATAAGAAAAAGAAAGAAACGGATCTCTATCCCGTCACGCGCCACATACGCGCATACGATCACGCACGTGTCAGATATGATGTGAGATGGATAAAAAAAAAAGAAAAGATAAATATTCGCACATCACATCCTTTTCGAAACTAAATTCACGCACATGGGAAAGGATATTCGAGACAGTTTACACGTCGCTCAAGGACACGTTGTGAGATTGCCGACTGCGAGAATAAAATTGTCGCACGCTAAATTCGATTCGATAGCGCGGACAATTCGTGATATCGCTCCCGCAACGGCGACCTTTGAGAAACAGAGAAATTGCATTCATCAGTAATCTCGATAAATTTAAATGAAAATATAACTGAATGATAAAGAACTGCATGTTTCTCTCTCTCTCTCTCTCTCTCTCTCTCTCTCTCTCTCTCTCTCTCTTTAATTACCATACGCATAACTTCGATAATAATTACCCGCGATATTCTCAAATCTTTTCCGACTACATTGACTTGTTTCGAAAATCGAAAAACTCTTTCCGTCATGATTTGCTGTTCTTAGCTAACAATGCTTAGGAATGCTTAAGAATATTCTTTATATACGTTATATATATCTCACATAATAAAGTAATAATAATAATACTTCAGCCCGGATGTAAACAAGGCAACGTAAAGCGTTAATTGTCGCGTCGAATGACGAATTTCGTGGCGAGATGTTCACGTCGATTTTCCAAATCAGCGCATCGCTGCTTGGATATCACCGTTGTGTGACGTCAAATTCTCAATGACTCAGAAAGCTTGCCGACGGCGAAACTCGAAATACGCACGGGAAGTATTTCCCAGAGACTTGCGCGAGACACACGAATATGGGTTTCTTTTTTGAAATCGCTGTGCGCGTCGGAAATTTTTCCCCTCGGTAACGGCGCGATTAAACGATCGGATCATCGAGCACGGAGAATTACTCGTCCGAGTCCGTTGACATAAGACGCGAGCCGTGTGAGTTTACACACGTACGAGTGCGTGCCGACACACCCATAAAACTCACCGAGTGTGATTAAAAACGATCAATTGCGCGCTTCGATCACAGACCGAAAGATAACGACGGCTATATCCGTCACTAGACTTCGCCGACTCGGTCGTATTTAATGTCTCGGGCTCGTTTGTTTACGGAACGCGTGTAATGCAGTGTAATCTCACGTCGGTGATATAATTTAATTTTACTAACCTTAACTACTCGATTCTCGAGTCAGAATTATTTCGCAACGCAATCGATCGCTTTACATCGTATTTTCTAAGAATTAGAAATAGATCCTATCTTAATAATAATAACGGTCATGGAGTCAGTACGCTGACGAAATCATTCATGACGAAATCGTAATTTCTAAATACTTACAAAGACAAAAATTAATCTTAAATCAATGATAGATATTCTCATGTATAAGCAAAAATATTATAATCTTCTTAGAAGATTTTTAATCTCGACTTCAATGAATTCTTATTAATGCAAATATATTATTTGCATTCAATTCAAGACTGAAAATCTTCTAAGAATATTATAATATTCTTACTTATATATGAGAATATCTATCGTTCATTATATAAGACTATTTCTTTTATATCGTTGATTTATATAAGACTATTTCTTTTCTGTATAATTATTATATAATTCTATGCGTAATCACAGCATTTAATTATATAAAGATAATCTATGCATCAAACATTACCCAGAGACCTTGTTTGAAGTTTGCATCGCGTGGTTTTTTCACGAAGATGGAATGACAGTCGCGACTATAACGATATAACGCGGCGTGCGTAGTGAAAAAGACCACACTCTACCTGGATTTGACGAGCTGATATCGGTCGAGCTTCTCGCTGATGAGCTCGCGACGATGCTTTTGATGGAATTGGTGGCCCTGATTGGTGCGCTGCCCGCTGCAACTCAGGCAACGGCGAGCTCCTTGCCAAACAACCAGCATCACTGCAACAGACGAAACGGGACAACTGTTAGTATGATCCTATCGATCGCGAAAATATGTTAAATCGCGAATAATACAGGCTTGATTTACTCAGGCAGAAAAGGCGTCACTAATGCCTCTCAGTTTCAATTCAGGCGTTACTGACGCTTCAGGTGCATCGCGAATCGTTGAGGTCGAAGAAAAACCGCGATATTGCGCTTCAATGACCATTCTAATGACAATGGACTGACTATTTAAACGTGAGATTTCTTTCGTTATTGCTTTACGTCAGAATGTCGTCAGAAACTTTGTACCGACGGCCGCTGGTCGGACGCGTTACGTGCAATCGGTATGTACGTATTATGAGAGATCAATCGGTATTACAACACGCGATCTTGACTTTCGACCCAGCATTTACGACACGCGTGCGTTTCGCAAAATCACGTCAGGAGAGAATCCGCAAGACACGATGTCTCGTAGCGGAAAACGTTACGTCATTTCTGATAACAACTTGACAAAGATGTGACGATAATTTTGTTGATGATTTATGTATCATAAACACAGACATCATCGAGTAACGATAATTATTAGGACACCGCTATTTCTTTATCTAATGAAAACAGAGCCGACTATTTAACTACATTTACTTCTGAAATCATTTCATTAGTCGTGCGATAAGACTCAATATACAGGATGTCCTATTTTAAAGAATATGCTTAAATATATAAAAAAACGCGCTTCAGAAAAAATGTTTCGAACAAAAGTTGTCTCGTTTTGAGGAGGCACAAAGTGATCAAACCGGAAGTTTTTATTACTTAGAAAATAAATCTTCTTAAAACACGACTAAAAGAACATGCAAAATTTAACGTTATTCAGTTTTTTCGATTCCCTACAAAAAATTCCCAAAAAATATCTTTTGTTACGATCTTTCAAATCATAATATCTTCTTGATCCGCATTTTCAGTTAATGTAACACTAACCTATGCAACAGTCAGGAGCACTAATAGTATTTAGGAAATTTTCTATTAGATTATTGCAAAAGATAAATAATATGATTATTTCTTATTACGGGTATTTCATAAATTCCCTAACACTTATCTCCAACGAAAAATAATCAAAGTTAACACTTGTTCTCTTCCGTGAAAGCGATATGTATATTATGACATTTTAATGGCTTGTATTTCACAATAACCGCAATCGTTCATCAAGTCAGTACACATTATGTATCAATTTACGATGAAATATATTTTCGATTCAAGAGAGACTGATTCTCGACGAATCGCAGAGAGATGCAAACATGAAATATAATCTTAAAGAAAATCTTATAAAAATATCATAAGATATTTGAGTCTCTAAATCGAACATATATCTTTGCCGTTTCGAAACAAGTTCGATCCGTCGAAGGAACATCGCACGGATGTGCAGCATACCAGCTCATCGCTTTAACTGAACTGCGCATGTGCCGTGGTAGTATGAATTGCGCAAGTCCGACATAAGAAAACTGTAAGAAGCATTTTCCTCTCTAATTTTTGCTTGAAATCAACTTTACCTGGGAGCATTTCTAACGCGCCTGCAATTAGATCGATCGGTGGTATACGCGTAACTATATAAAATTATCAAACTGCGACTACCCGCAATAAAAATTTCGCGAAAATGAAAGAAAAGAAAAAACGGAGAGGATAACTCTTCGGTATGTTTAATAATAAATCGACTCCAAGGGTCATGCGTAAGAGCATTGGATATACCGTCTCGTCCGCAGAGCCGTTTCGTCTGCGGTTCAGGATGATTTTCGCCGGCGAACGATATTTCTACATTTACAGAATCTTGTTGACGATAAGCGGTTTGTGGCCGTATCAGAAGCCGAGTGTTTTGCATGCGTTGTTCTTTCTCAGTGCACTCTCCTCGTTCATTATTTTCCAGGTAATTCTTGATCTATTTTCGTATTCTCGATCACGTCCTCGTGGCACTTCTCCGTACACCATTCGCAACGTGGTACACCGTAAATCTTTGTGCTGAAATTATAGTTGCCTTCCAACAAGAGATACAGACACAGTGACACAATGTCAACACAAAATACCTTCATACAACGACACAATAGAACACAAGTCGACACAGCTGTAGCTGTCGCAGTCATATTATTTTTCCACAATAGCACGGGATACAAAATTTTTATTGATGGTGCAAATTAGTACAAAATGTGTACTAAATAAATGAAAAAGCCAAATTTGATTTTGCTGATTTGGTCCTGCTTAGAGATCATTTATTCATTGCAGGTTATACCATTCTTCACGGCAAACCCCGACTATATATCTCTCATAATGATGTTGTCGATCAGTTTACCTTTTGTCGCATGTATTTGGTTTTACCTCTGTTTTTATTTCAATAGCGAGAAAGTGAGTATTACTTGCGGTTTTATAGACATGAAGTTCTTGCGCCAAACGAGTATTCAGTACATAGGGGAATTTACGAAGCACTGGTTGTTCGAACGGCAGGTAAAGCACTTTTTGGAGCGAATCGTGATGGATTGGAATATAGTCGACTATGGTGAAATGAAAATATTAGAGAAATATGCCAACGAGTGTCATATAGTTTCGCTGTTTATAGTCAGTAAGTCAATTGTATAAACTACGAACTTCGCGATTTTTCTTGAGGTCCACATCCCCATATCACGAATCGACCGTTCAATCAACTGAATGAAATTGTGCCTCACCTCATCGCACGTTTTTAATGTTTTTGTCCCAAGTTTTTATATGCTTAGGATATATCGGTTTTATAATCATCGAAATGCTGCCGATTATTCTCGACGCTGTCGCGCCAATGAACGAAACCCGGCCGCGCCAGATCCAGTACGACTTGGAGTTGTTTCTCGATCGGCAGCAATATTTTTTCTTCTACGTGACATATGAGTGCGCAATGTTGATGATTTCATATTTAGCACTAGCACCGATCTTCCTTTTGTTGATTGTGTTACTGAGACACATTTGCGCCATTTATAAAATCGCTAGGTGAGTACGACCGATCGCGAGTTTCGGTAATAACGAACTAATCGATCTTGAACTGTCGTATTAATTGTAGCTACAGAGTATCAACTATTTTGACCACAAGTAAATTGTTTGCAGCATCTTGATTGGGAGTACAGTGACTAAACATACGCTTGAAATTCCAGATGATCGGAAAATACGCGAGATGTGTCGCAGGATCACTCGTGCCATTTATATGCACAGAAGAGCTATACAGTCAGTCCTCATATGAATTACTTTCTTTCTTTCTTTCTTTTCTTTTTCCGTTTTATACTTCGTATTTTTGCGTGTAATATACACATAAAGTTTCACTTAAATAGTACATTTTTCTTTTATTCTCAACACACGCATCTCGTATATAAAATTGCCGTATATTTTTTTCTAATTTCTCGCTGTTATCGAAGGTTTATCCAATCCATGTTAAAACTCTTGGACAAATGGGTTCTCGTTGCGACAGCGATCGTTATATTGTCTCTAAGTTGCAATCTTCTACTAGTATGTAACGCAGTATACGTATAATGTTTTTCATTTAATGTTATGCGTATGTCTGCATGCGATGACTATTGACATGATATATCATTGTGATTTAGCTTTTGGTAGCGGTGACAGTGATAACGGAAGTTTTCGAAATACTCATACGTTTAATAACGGTGTTTGGCCACTTTATAATATTGTTTATAGGTAATTTTATTGCACAAACAGTTACAAATCACAGTGCCGAGATGTTTACCGCCTCGTAAGTACCGTATGGAGATATATAGATCGAATAGTGAATAAAGAAGGATAGCACAAAATGACGTTTTTCTGTTCGAACCTTCTGTTTTCGTTTATCTTTGTTTCGCCTTGATCTTTGAATATGTGTGATCTTCTTCACACTGTTGCAATAAGTAAAACAAATATTTTACAGAATATGTAAAAAGACAATTACAAAACTCGGAGATAGAACACGATTGTTTATTTTCTTAATCTTTTAGATATAATACTGCGTGGTATCTATCTCCGTTGCCGGTACAAAAATTGTTGTTATTCGTCATGCAATATTCTCTGAAGGATAAAGTGTTGACGATTGGTGGAATTTATCCAGCATCTTTAGAAGGATTTACCACGGTAATAGACGTAAAATATGAAAAATTAATGTCTTAAAATGAAATCTGATTTATCTCTTTTTTTCTCGCAAACAATCGTTTAAATATGTTCAATGTATATTAAAGAACAATACTATTAAAGAACAATAACAATATTGTCACAATATTGTCACGTGCAGCTCCGATAATATTTAGGGATTGATATTTCCGTCAACAAAATAAAAATTTAAATATTTTTCAGCTTGCAACTATGTCAATGTCATATTTCACGCTGCTATGTAGTATCAATTAACAGTGAGAGGATGAAAAGATACAAATTGCTCTAGGAACGTCTATATAAAAAATAATAGAGAAACAGATTTTTCTGGTATGTAATTGTTTGTATCCGTTTAAGCATGAACTATGGAAACTTACTTGAACATTTCGCAAGTCCTCGCGTCATGAAATTTAGACGTACCATCAGAGACGCTGATATAGTGAATATAATTTCGACATGTAGCGCTTTACACACACAGTAGCGAGAATAATTGCAAAATTAATTGTGAAATTAAAAACAATGAAGACCCATTAAAGCATATTTTAATATAACAATTTATTTTTTTCATTTGAGCCCACTCTCATCGAAAGTAGAATCGAAGTTGAATCAGTGAAAATGTCATTGTTTGAATCAATATTGTAATTGTTCGGTAATCAGTGAATATTTGCTTAATTTTAATAGAAACACTTCCATTTAACGCTACAGGATGTCACAAAAAAATATTACCACACTTTATGTAGTCCGTTATAAACATTGAAAGCAAATTGTACAATATTTAATAAATACTTTAAAAACAATCAAGGTGTGGTAACATTTTTTGCGACACCCTGTATTATTATACATTTCATTAATTTTGGCCAATGAAAGATTCACTGTAATTTGCTGTTACGCATCCTATAGCAGAAATATATATATATATATATGCAATACGCAAGGTTGGGAAGTAACGCGTTACCATTACAAGTTACATTTTTCCAGTAACGATTTGGTAAAGCCGTTATTTTTATTTGGTAATAACTGTAACGGTAACGAAGTTATGTCTTTTGTGAATAACAAATAAAATTGTTACTTTTATCATTACTTTCAGGCTGCATTCGGAAACGTTACACTTCCAGTGACTGAAGTCACGTAAGCATATGAAACAGTGATGTTTGCAAATGCAGTCTGAGTATTTCAGAACAGTTAGTGTCTAATAGTGTACACATTGTGAATATTTCCGAACGCAGCATAAGCCGGGTCTACAATAAGCATATTAAGCTTTAAGCTGTAAGAAACTGACCGATTCACAACGATCCAGCAGCTCTGGGGCTCGATTTCTAACTATTCGTAACTATTCGTATACGTAACTTGCGAATAATATTCAATGAGCGTACAGCTTTTCGTAAAACCAGTAAGCTCATTGGATATCACTCGCAAGTTACGCATACCAATAGTTACAAATAAGGACCTCCGCACAAGGATGTGACGTATGTCATTCATCGCATCGTTGAGATACAGGATATCTTCACGACAATACGATGAAGCATCAATATTAAAAATTAATAAAGGATTTTGGTAAAATTCAACGAGTTTGTGTATTTAACCCTTTGCGGACGAGAGGCGACTCTCAGTCGCCACGGCGTTTCGCGCGGCAGGACGAGTGGCGAGTGAGAGGCGACAGTTAGTGTTTATGTTAGATTTCGTTACCTCCAACCGATAGGAACGCACTATTGGTTCTTGGAAAGGTTCCTTTCAGAAAAAACATAAGGAGTTAAGGAGCTGTTGATGTTTTTTCTACGAAGTATAAAACGACACATCAAAATCGACTTCCAATTCTAACGAAATTCGACTAAACAGAAAGCTCCATGTAAAGACACTCGACAGATCTGCGAAAGACGCCTCGTCCTGCTATCTCACCCGGCCGAAAAAGTCGTCGTCCGCAAAGGGTTAATAAGAAGTCATTCGAAAAATTGCTTACAAGTTAACAGTTGATTTTTCTTCCGAGTGTGAGAACAATAAATATAATATTTTAATAATTTGTATTTCGCGGTAACCGCAATCGTTCATTAAATCAATGTGCAATTTGTATTAATTTAGGACGAAACGTACCTTGGCCCGTTCAAGACAGTCTGATCCACGATGGGTTATAAAGAAATGCAAACTTGAAGTATAATCTTACAGAAATATCTTAATATGGACTTGATATAAACTAGGATCTTTAGATCGAACGTGTGTTTTCGCTGTTTCGAAACAGACTAGAGCCGCCGAAGGAACGCCGCACAAACGTGAACTATGCATGTGTTAATTGACTCCACAAGTTGCTCAAGTCTGATGTAAGAAAATTGTAAGATACATTTCCGTCTAAATCGTCTGCAATCAACTTTATTCGAGAGCATTTGCAACGTAATGTGTCTGCACGGTTTGTAATTATATCGATCGGTTGTATAGGCGTGAATAACTATGTGAAATTATCAAATTGCGGTCACCTGCGATCAGAATTTCGCGAAAATAATAGAAAGGAAAAAACTAAAAACATGTTGCTACAGTGCGTTTAATAATGAATCAACTCGAAGTGCCGCGCGTGACAGCATCGGCTATCCGCAGACCTGTTTCGTCTGCTGTGCAGGATGATTTTCGCTGGTGAACGTTATTACTACATTTACCGAATCATGTTGACGATAAGCGGTTTATGGCCACACCACAATCCGAATGTTTTGCATACGGCGTTCTATATCAGTGTACCTTCCTTTTTCGTTATTGCCCAGGTACTTCTTGATCCATTTTCATATTTTTAATCACGTCCTTGTGGGTCCTCCACATACATTACACTCGCAACTGGTACATCCTTAACACTTTGTGTTGAAATCGTGTCTCTCGTACGATGTATTACTTACGAGCAGAAATCGTTCAGCACATCTCATGCATGTAATATAATGTATACTTTTGTTCTCTGTGAGCATTGAATTACATAGAGACATGCATCCCGTGCGGAAGCCAATTTCAACGCACACACAATTACATTTCAACGAAATGAATGAAAAATTCGCCAAATTGATATGCTGTCATATCTCATTTCCGTTGCAGCTTATGCAATGTTTTGTCCTGACGGCAAATAGCGATTATGAATTTATCATTACGACGTTTTCCCTCATTTTACCCGCTGTTATATTTATTTCGCTTTACATCTATATTTATCTTAATACAAAAAAAGTAAGTATTACTTACTGTCTTCTACACATGAAGTTCTCGCACGATACGAAAATTTTGTGTATACATTAGCGAAGGGGATTTATGAAGTATTGGTTGTTCAAACGGCAGACGAAGCACCTATTCGAGCATATTGTGACGGATTGGAATACAGTCGACTACAGTGAAATGAAAATATTAGAGAAATATGCCAGCGAGTGTCGCAAGATTTCACTGATTTTGGTCCGTAAGTTTAATTGTATAAACTATGAACTTTGCGATCTATTCTTGAGATATACCTCCCCATCTCGAATCGATCGTTTGTTCGATCTATGGAATGAAATTGTGTTTTATTTCATCGCACGTTTTTAACATTTCTATTCAAGTTATACTCAGCATATCATATGTCATTTATATATTCATCGAAATGCTGCCGATTATTCTCGACGTCATCGTGCCGATGAATGAATCCCGGCCGCGCAAGACTCAAGTGGACTACACCATATTTCTCGATAAGAACAAATATTTCTTCGTCTACATAATATATGAGTCTGTCGGAATGTTCATTGCAAATTCAATAGGACTACCGGTCTTCTTAATGTTGTTTGCATGCGTGAAACATTCTTGCGCCATTTATAAAATTGCTAGGTAAGTGCGACCGACCGAGTTTCGGCAATAACGAAATAATCCATCTTGAAGTGTCATATTAACTATATCTACAGAGCATCGACTATTTTGACCATGAGTGAATTATTTGCAGCAACTTGATCGGGAATGTAGTGACTAAACACACGCTTGAAATTCCAAATGATAGGAAAATGCACGAGATGTTCCGTAGGATCACTCGTGCCATTTATATGCACAGAAGAGCTATACAGTCAGTCCTTGCATTATTTACTTTCTTTATATGTTTATGCTTCGTATTTTCGCATGCAATATATGCATGAAATTCTACATAAATAGTACATTTTTTTATTCTCAGCATGGGTTTCGTATGTAAAACTACTTTGCTTTTATCTAATTTCTCGCTTTTATCTAAGGTTTATCAAAAACGGAATGGAATTAATGGGAAATTGCATGTTGATTGGAACAGCGTTCGCTGTGATGTCTCTAACTTGCCATCTTCTACTAGTATGTAACACGCTATCACGTACAATATATTTTTAATTTAATGCCATGCGTATGTGTGTGCGTGAGATGACTATCGGCGTGATATATCATTGTGTTTTAGCTTCATATAACAGTGGCAGTAGTAAGGGAAAAATTTTTCGAAGCACTTCTACGCGGCACAATAGTGTCGATGCATTTAGGAATTTTCTTTGCATGTAATTTTTTTGGGCAAACAATTACAGATCACAGCGCTGAGATATTTACCGCCGCGTAAGTACTTTATGAAGAGGTATATATCCAATAATGGATAGAGTAGGATAGAATAAATTTATGTTTACGTTTTTACGTTCGATTTTCTTTGTTTTCCTTGGTTTCGCGATGATCTTAAACAACTGCAAACTCGTCCACATTGCTGCAACAAGTAATGTGGACATTTCACAGAATATGTGACTTTTTTTTACATATACATATTCCACACCCATGGTTCACAGAATATGTATATGTAAAAAACCAACAATAAAACTCAGAGATAAAATAGAATCGTTTATTTTCTTAATTTTTCAGATATAACATTGCGTGGTATCTAGCTCCGTTACCGATACAAAAACTAACGATACAAATAACTGCTGTTATTCGTCATGCGATATTCTCTAAAACCTAACTTGATAACTGTTGGTGGAATTTTCGTAGCATCTTTAGAGGGATTTACTACGGTAACAGACGTAAAATTCAAAGAATTAATTCTTTAGAAAATTCAGTCCAAATTATCTTTTTTTCTCTTGCAAACAATCATTTTAATGTGTTTAATGTATATCGAAGAAATAACATTATTGTCACGTGCAGCTCCAATAACAATTAGAGATTGATACATATCGACAACCTAATAAAAATTTTATTGTTTTTCAGCTTACAACTATGTCAATATCATATTTCACAGTACTATACGGTGTCAATTCACAGTAAGGGGATGAAAAAATATAAATTGCTCTAGAAACGTTTTGATAAAAAGCAATAAACAGATTTCTCTTGTATGTAATAGCGTGTATCGTTTAAAGTTCTACGAAAACCTGCTTAAACATTTCGCAAGTCAGCGCGTTATTTGGGCGTACCATTCGGAATGTTAATATTCGAAAAATAATTTTGATATGCAACATTTTATGCACATATTAGGGAGAGTAACTGAATATAAAATAAGCAATGTTGCAATGTGTTTATTATTAAGCACATGAACGTACATTAAGGTATATTTTAATATAACAATTTATCTTTTCCATTTGAATCTGCTCTCGTTGAGAATAAAATCGAATTCGAATCAATTACAATTTCATTGCTTGAATCAGTACAACAGTATTGTAATGATAATTTGTGAGTTTTCGATCATTTTTAAGAGACACACTTTCATTTAGTTTTTCTATCTTACATTACATTAATTTTAGCCAGTGAAAGATCTACTGCAAATTGCTGTTATGTGTCCTATAGCAGAAATATATACACATATACGTCTATGAATTCAACCATACTTGGCATAGTCCACATGATAGCAGACTCAATCGTTCAACTTGCACTATGAATCAACTTATGATGAAACGTACCTTGGCCCGTTCAAGACAGACCGATCCACAACGGGTCGTAGAGAAATGAAAACTTGAAGTACAATGTTACAGAAATATCCCAAGATATTTGGGTTTTTGGATCAAATGTATGTGTCCCACCGTCTCAAAACAGACAAGATCGACCCGCTGAAGGAACATTGCATGTTCCACGTGAACCGCGCATGCGTCAATTCACTCCACGAGTTGTGCAAGTCGGATATAAGAAAATTGCAAAACACATTTTCGTCTAAATCGCCTGCAATCAACTTTTCTTGAGAGCATTTTTTAACATAGAGTGCCTGTAAGATACATAATTTTATCGATCGGTGGTATAGGTGTGAGTAACTATGTGAAATTACAAAATTGCGGATGCCTGCGCTAAGAATTTCGCGAAAATAATAGCAAGGAAAAACTGAGAACATGTTGCTTCAGTACGTTTAATAATGAATCGATTCCATGCGCCGCGCGTGACAGCACCAACTGTACCGTCTCGTCCGTAGACCTCTTTCGTCCGCAGTGCAGGATGATTTTCGCCGGCGAACGCTATTACTACATTTACCGAATCGTGTTGACGCCATTCGGTTTGTGGCCGAATCAAAAGTCAAGTATTTTGCAAACGACGTTATGTCTCACTGCATATTTCTCCTTCATTATTTCCCAGGTACTTTTTGATCCATTCTCGTATTTTCGATCACGACCTCACGGCCCTTTTCGTACGCTACTCGCGACTGATAAATTCTTAACTCTTGATGTTGAAATCGCATATCTCGTACGTTGTATTACTTACGATCAGAAATAATTCAGTATATCACATGCGTGTAATATAATGTACTTTTATCCTCTGTGAGCGTAGACTTATAGAGCCGTATATTACGCGTTACAACTAATTATATATCTCTATACAAAATTAAAAATTAGTAAATTCGGTATGCTTTTATATTCCATTCATGCATTGCAGCTTACGCAGTTAACGACAAACTACGATTATTTATTTGTCATTACGGTACTTTCGGGCATTATACCCTGTGTCACATGTAGCATATTTAACATCTATTTTCACATCAATCCTAAGAAAGTGAGTATCACTTGCGGTCTTATATGCACGAGGTTCTTGCACTATACGAGAATTTCGTACATAAATGAGATGAAATAAAAAGAATTTTCAAAGCACTGCTTGATTGAACGGCAGACAAAGCACGTATTGGAGCAAATCATGATGCACTGGAATACAGCAGATTACAGCGACATGAAAATATTAGAGAAATATGCCAAGGAGTGTCGTATAGTTTCGCTGATTATAATCGGTAAATAAATTATATAAATTTTGAATTTCGCGATTGTTTTTTTGAGGTATATCTCCGCATCGCCATTCGTTCGTTCGATCAGTATAAAATTGAGTCTCTCATCGCATGTTTTTAATGTTCTGCCCAAGTTATGATCATCACAGCATTTTTCGTTAATATAATCATCGAAATGCTGCCCATTATTCTCGACGTCGTCTTGCCGATAAACGAATCACGGCCGCGCAAGATTCAAGTGGATTTCGACATATTTCTCGATAAGAACGAATATTTCTTCGTCATATATGAGTGTTGGCTGCTAATAGCTCTATCTTCAATGGTGTTTGCGGTCTTCTTATTAATGTTTATGTTCATGAGACACTGTTGCGCCATTTACAAAATCGCTAGGTGAGTGTGACCGACTGAGGTTTCTGATAATAACGAAATAATCTTATACTATCGCACTAACTATAACTAAGAAGTATCGACAATTTTGATCATGAGTGAATTGTTTGCAGCACCTCGATCAGAAGTGTAATGACTAAACACACGCTTGAAATTCCAGACAATCAGAAAGTGCGCGAAATGTATTACAAAATCATTCGTGCGATTTATATGCACAGAAGGGCTATACAGTCAGTCACTTTATTTACTTACTTTTTACGTTTATGCTTCGTATTTTCGTGTGCAATATACGCATAAAATTTTACTTAAATAGTATACTTTTTTATTTTTAACACACGTGTTTCGTATATAAAACTACTTTACTTTTGTCTGATTTTTCGATATTATCGAAGGTTTGTCAGATCAGGAATAAGTGAAATGGGTAGATTGATATTTGTTGGACTGGCGTTCATTGTATTGTCTCTATCTCTCCATCTTCTATTAGTACGTAACGCGCAACCACGTACAATATGTTTTTCATTTAATGTCATGCATACGATGACTGTTGTTGTAATATATCATTGTGTTTTAGTTCCTTGAAGCAGTGACAGTATTACGAGACAAATTTTTCGAAGCAGTTATACGCAGCGTAATAGTGATCATCCATTTAACGCTTTTGTTTTTCTCTAATTTTCTTGCGCAAACAGTTACAGATCACAGTGCTGAGATGTTTACCGCCTCGTAAGTACCTCATTTTGAGAAGTACAGTTTGTATAAGCGATAGAGAAGTATAGAACAAATTTATATTTTCCTGTTCGACCTTCTTTTATTTTCCTTCATTTTACGCTAATCTTTCAATATTTGTGAACTTGTCCACACTATTACAATAAGTAAAGTGCACATTTCACAAAGTATGTGAAGAAACAGTTGCAAAATTCCGAGATAAAATAGTATCATTTACTTTCGTAATTTTTTAGATGTACTACTACATGGTATCTAGCTCCGTTACCGATACAAAAATTGTTGTTATTTGTCATGCAATATTCTTTGAAGGCTAACTCATTGGATTTTTTCCAAGTCTTTAAAACTATAAAATGACATTTTCCTATTCGATCTTCTTTCTTTTCTGGCTAAGGGGTAAACTGCTGACCAAAATCATGTACAGTAATACCTAATAATGTCTAATTTCCGGACATTACTGCCGAATTTCTTGCCTAAGGTCTACTAATATTCTAATAATATTCAAGTAATGCCTGAGCAATATTTCTGTTTATTTCAGTGACAGTGAAATAGGAAATATAGTCAGTGTGTATATATATACAGAGTGGGCCAAAAGTAACTTTACCATTTAAAAATTAAATAACTTTTTTGCTATTATATTTTTTTTGTTTCAGATTTTTAAAATATAGAATTCGGAAATAAATTATGGGTAAATTAACAATAGAACAACGATAGAACAACGTGTAAAACTTATTGAGTTTTACTTTGAACATCAGCGCTCCATTGTTCTTACTCAAAGAGCATACATGCGACATTTTAACGAAAGAAATCCTCCGTTAAAACCAGCGATATTAGCCTTCATTCAGCGTTTTCAACAGAAAGGTTCTGTCCAGGATCTTCCACGGACTGGAAGACCCCGCAAATTTTCAGAGAAAGAATAATTCCCAGAAATGCGGAGTTTCGTTGGCCGTCATGTTCCCCAGATCTGACGGCCACAGATTTCTTTTTATAGGGATATTTGAAACAGAGAGTGTTTGTTACTAAGCCCCGAATTCTTGCTAAGCTGAAGGACAATATTCGTCAGGAAATTCGAATGATAAACAGTCACTTTGCAAGCAGTTATGGAGAATGTCATAGAAAGAGCTCGCCTTTGTGAAGGGGGAAAACGGGGATCATTTAAAAGATGTTATCTTTCATGTTTAGGCCAAAAAAATCTCCAAGATGTGTACATTATAATATTAAAAAGAAAATTATTAAATAATTAAAAATAAAAAAGTTATTTCATTTTTAAATGGTAAAGTAACTATTGACCCAACCTGTATATATACACACAAACATCGACTGATTTATATTTTTGTCAAGCGTTATAATTTATATCTTCAGCAGAATATGGCCAACTTAATATGCATGATAAAAATCCGACATTTCATACACTAACCTGATATATTATAGATTTTTAGTATGGCAGTATACAGTCCTTGGCCATATTATTAGACGCACTTTGATTCTTTAATAGAATACAGGTTAGGAGAAGAAAAGCTACAAATTTTATAAATATTTACACGATTAGAATAATTTTCGGTGTCAAACAACGCTTTTATCTCCGCAACCTTCTGAAATTTCAAATCACTTATTTTATCCATAATTTTTGTAAGCAATATTAATATTTTTCACACAAAAATTTATTTTTCTAGTAAGTAAGCAAAAAAATTTGAAGTTTCAAGTCAGGTAAATAAACAAAAATAAAACTAAATTTCAATTAATATATACTCAAAACACGTCTGTTCCCGTTATTATCCACAATGCAAATAGCGCGGGTTCATACTTGTTAAAGGTCATTGTAACAGCCAAATGAAATGACGTCATAAAAAATACCTTTTTATAGAATAATAATTCCTTTTTATAGAATAATAGTTCCTTAATATAATTCGATCGATAGATGAGCCATATTATAAAGCTGATTCTCGGGAGTCAATGAAATATAAGAAATAAAGATGCGTCTAATAATATGGCCAGAGACTGTAAATATACGAACACTGCCAAAATGTTGGAATATTTGAATGCCAGTATTTTGGGAAAATAAAAAAAATGAAAGAGACGTGTCCAGAGAGAGCGTAGAGAGACTGAGGATGTGTCTTGAGATATTTCCCTGCGAATATTATCGCACAAAGTGTGATTCACCGCTAATACGGAACTTCAGGCCGACACTCATGAACATAGGACCTGTTTTTTGTCGCTGAACAATTGCAACTTAAAATGAAACAGATATACAGGGTGCTCCGGTTGCGACTTTTAATTTTACCGAGAAGTTCTCTGGACAATTTCAAGTTAACTTTTCCTCTACAGAAATGTCGAGGCACCAATAGTTTCCGACATACAAGCGATTGAAAAAGTGGAGCTTTCCACGAACTATGCTTCGAGCGATCAAACAAACAGCAAAAGTATTTTCTACGGATTTATTTCAAACGCATTTTAACGGAATTTTAACTTGGGACCTGGATAAAAATATATGTTGAAGACTGAAAAGTGTTGTTGTAAATAATGACCTCCCTTGATATTTTTGCTAAGGAAAAATTGACTCGAAATTGCCCGGGGGATCTCTCGGTAGAATTAAAAGTCGTGAGAACTGGGACACCCTGTATGGCTGCGACTTCGTGTAAAAACGAGGGAAGTAGAATTAGTGTAAAGCGGTGCAGCCAGTTCGGTTGTAAAGAACAGACCTCAGGTCCCGCATTCAAACTGGCGGTTTCGCGCGCTCCGACCAGTACGATCGTGTTCATTCGCGTTCACCAATCCTCGTCACCATATAATGAATACCGAAACGTGTACTTTTTGAACTAGTCCAGTGTAGGAATAAAAAGTAAATCTAATGTTTGATCCCGGATATCAATTATATAATTTTTACCTAGGTAAAAATTTCATTTTAGAAATATTGGAAAATTATTATTGTAAAATATGATTGTCACCATGCTCGTCCGTGCGCGTTCGCCTACTTGTTCCACACTCTCGCTTTCTCTCTTTCTCTTTAATAATCCGGAGCTGCTTACGTGTTGCGATACATATATACGTACCTCGAAAACGTCAAGCTCACGCTATGGCGTCCCGAAGGTGTCCCACACGTCCGTCCCGAATGAACAGCACCTGATTAGCACCACTCCGCGGGACACTGTCCTCGTCGTCGTCGTCGCACACGGATTTCGCTATCGATTCGTCGCGTCGTTCGCGAGGACACGCGTTCACGAGAGACCGGCAGCGACGAAAGCTCGGCAACGGAACGTCCAGCGGCGAAAATGGAGACGACGCGAGAAAGCACGAACGAGATACTGCCGTCGACACCGCGGATATTGGTGAAAATATCGCGAAAACGCGAACGTGAAAATGCGAACCACGACGCGGATCGAATAGATGTGTGAACGACGCGCACTGCTCCACGCTCGGACGTAACGCGGTGTCGTCGTATCTCGTTCGTGCGGCAGACAGTTGAAGACTGATTGCAACGGCGGCCGTCGCGCGCACAATGGCGACGGGCTGCGCAGACGCACTGCGTGGCGCGCTAAGCCGGCCGATTGAACGCCCTGAACGTTATTTGCTTAGAACATAAAGACATGGAAGGAGAATTGTATTGTTTCCTGTGGACTGAAAATGTACGTCCAAGTTGCGTGCGAGAAAGAAAGAAATATACGGAAAAAATCGTCTGTACGGCACATGCTTCGAAGTCGTTGCTAAGCAACAGCTGTCTATACGCTTTCTATATTTTATTGTTTGCACCGAACTCTGAGCAATATTTATTGAAAAACATCAATATAAAAATACCTTGTATATATTATGTTTTGTGCGGCAATCACGATATGTTCTAAACTGCAAGCATTGTCATTGGTCATTTATGACAGGTTACGTTATTTATTATTTATTACAGTTAATATATAAACTGTTTATAATCTGTAGCATCTGTCAATTTCGACGCATGCGCACAGAGGATGATTATTTCATGTATATCTTTCTCGTGTGCAACTTGGATATATTTTCGATACCAACATTCCCCTTTCATGTTTATATTTTCTAAGGTTACTTGTCCTTAAATGTTACTTTTTACTTTTAAATCCACTAACAATAGGTCACCGACAGTATTGCAAATCTATAGTTCATATTATGTGTATAGATTTGCAGTACTGGCAGTGAATATCAGAACGTACATTTTTTTAACTAGTACATCCAGTGCAGGAATAAAAAAATAAATCTAATGTTTGATCCCGGATCTAATGTTCATTTATGTAATTTTTACCTAGATAAACATTTTATATAAAAAGTATTGTAAAATTATTATTATAAAATATAATAAATTATTTAAAAAATATAATATAATAATTATATAATATAACAATATATATCAAAATACTATATTATTATGTATAATTATTATTGTAAAACTTCTTTTTATTTTTGCCCCATGACGGAAATGTGAAAAGTGAAAATTCCAAATGTTTTCAAATTAGAAAATTTACATTTTTCACGAATTTACGCTAGAGGAGAAAATGCATGATCAACCTACAGGGAATCATAAATCTTCTCCTCTAACGTAAATTTGTTTAAATTTGTGAAAAGGATAAATCTTGTAATTTGGAGACATTTAGAATTTTCACTTTTCATATTTCTGTCCTAAGGAAAAATTACATGTTCATTACCTTGGTTTCCACACGAATTTTAACAATTTCCCATAACCGTTATACTTTGCATACATTGAAAAGTACAAATATGGTAATTGAATTTTTTTAATGGTCATTATCACCTATGTTCTTTGTTTCAGGCATGCTTTTTGTTCTCTTTTAAACGTGTCTTCTTCCCTCTTTTATTTCCTGATAATCTCAATCATTATTTTTAAGGATTATGTTACATGTTATATCTATCTACCGTGATTACATAATAACAGAAAGAAAGGAAGATAGAGGAGAGGGAGAGACGAGAAAACAGAATCGAATGAGTCCAACATTTTATTCGACAGTAATACGAATATACGATGAAAAATTGTTCTGTCGTTTTACGATATGAGGTACACACGCGCGTGATTGACTCGACATACCTCGAGTACCTCTCTGAGTTTTTTGAACAATGTTTCATGGCTCTCGCACGAGTACTACCGAAAGTCGGTAAGTCCGCATGAATTCTACAGAGTCGTCGGGAAAAATTTAGACTCTACCGAGAGAATAATAATAAATTTGAATATCAATAAGATGAAAAGATGCTCTGCGCATTCGAGAAGTAGTCGTATGTATCCGCACTCCAGCTGACAAGATTCCCCTCAAAAATACATTTCGCTTTTGCTACACTCTCCACAAACGCAAGTGCATCGTAATGCTATGGAAGCATTAATTAATTAACAGTATATCCTTATAAATTTTTTTTTAATGTGTGCATTAGAAAAGCGTTCGAAAATTGTCTACGGAGCTGTTTTCATCTCATTAGATCGATCTAATAATCTTAAAGTACTCTTACATTTCGAGAGTATATTATTGTACATAGAAAGTGCTACGTACTTTTATGAGCGACGTACTTTTATGAGCGACGAATAAAGAGCGTATCATGAAAATAAATATTATTTACTTTCATCCCTGATATATATATATTTTTAACTCTGCGTTTTCTCTTTTCCTTCAGTTTCGCAATAATGCATTCGCGGCATCGAACATTAAAACTTGCGAGATTATATATGTCTATAATTTAGTGAACACATTTTTGAAATATACCGATCCTTCATGGCAAAAGTCTATAGGTTCGTATCTCGCGTTTACAAATTACGTCGACTCAGTCACGGGGACTCCGATTTAAATCTCTAATCGCGCGTTTACGTCGATCCGATGTACGAAGTGACATGGGAATATACAATGCTCGCGTCGAATTGTGTAGAATGTCGTCGGGTTGAACGAAGGTGCACAATGAGAGTGGACACATTAAATAAATATTGCGGATATCAAGTGAAACGCGATACAAATTAACAAGATGAATGCTCTGTAAAAAAATATATGTATATGTGTCTATATATATCTATATATATATATATAAATATATATGTATATATATGTCTTATAAGATGATACAAAATGCACACATACGAATATGTATGTCAATCTTACAAGACACGCGTACAATACATAGATACTTACAATCAGTAGTAACTTGTCAAACAATTGCACTAAACGATAAGAATAATCGTGTAGTTCGATCTTTGCAATGTAAACTACTATGCAGGACGAAGTGACGTCACTTTGAAGAGACAACTAAGGACAATTACATGTGCCGAATCGAGAGCGAACTCTTAGATTACGCTCAGGTGCGCTGTCGGTGTGTACTGTCGATGTGCAGGAACGTGTGAGAATTTGATTAACGCACCAACAAGAACGTTAATTATTTGAGACAAGTTAGATGTTGCAAATCATTACAGTAACAGCTCGCCACACGTATCAGCAACTTATATAAATTGTACAGTTATGTTTTACTATAACAATAAGATAAATATAATTCGTAACGCTTATTGCGAACTACGTTAGTACAAACTAAACTGTGTGTAAGTAGTTTTAATCGTTATAACATTAGTGGAATACAAAGTGAACTTTTCTTTATCTCTCTCAACGTTTATAAACCTTATACATCGGTACAGAATTTCAGTTTACGCTTATGCCTAGATACCTAAAGTTTGTAAACAAGAACTCGTCGACATCGATAAAATCACACGATATTGCTTTTGTAAAAAACATTAAATATACGTTAATTAAATCTCGATTATTCGGCTGTACTTGCGCGAGAAAAAGATTTATGAAAGAGGAATGAAGGAAGCGTGAGTACAATTTAATTTCCCGGGCTGATTTCAACGTCCAACGTGAGTCTTTAAGTAGAAAACGTGTTTTTTTTTTAAGTTTTTCGCACAAAATCGTCATTAGCCTACTCGAAATATCAACGATTCTTTGAAGGTCCTACTTATTAATTAGAAATAATTCGTAATCGCGAATAACTTTATTCTATCATACGAGACCATAACTGTCCGAATTTTTTATGCCTTCACGTACCTCATACTTTGTATCATAGGAAACAGGTACAATGTATTAGGTAACTCAATTTTCTGTGCGATACAACAATCGATAAGATTTCTTACGCTACTTTAGTACGCTTAGTATTCCGTAATAACGATCAAGGTACACCTTACCATATTTGTAAGTTACATACAAAACGTTTCACTGGCAGATATAATTATCTTTTTGTTTTATTTTTATAACAAGTATATATAGAAAACTAAATCAGTATCCTACAGCCTCTCTGTGATGTATAAATTAAACGTCAACGTTATTAAGAATAACTGTAAAATGCTACGCAACGTGTAAAAAAAAACAAATACCACTTTTGATGTTTATTATGTGTCTTAGATAAAAGATAACTGATATGAGAAAGAAAAAATAAGAGATTCTTCTATCAAAGTAAGCTGTTAGTTTCTTTCCTACTATGTTAACATTAAGCTTGTTTTATCTGCTATTAATCATCAGCAATACTTAGAAGTAAACGTCTCTTACGGTTGATTCCTCCGTCTAGAAACTTGCTAGATGGCAAAGAACGCCGAGAATTCAACTTGTTGGGCAATGGTTGTTAGCAACCCAACCGTAAGAGTAACTTCTGAATTATGGTCATTAGTGTTGGGCAAAATGCATCTTTTTTCGGAAAAAAATATGCGCTTTCACATTAGCACATATATTTCCTATACGTTAATACAGTTACAAATGCATAAGCAAAGTCGTGTTCCCTTGCGAATCGTAATTTATTTTTGCCTGACACCGATATTTATAAATTAAGCTGCGACCTTATCGAAATAATAAGATGTATACATTACAAACTGTAGGTTGATATAGTTTTCCCCTTGCCACCAATATATCGTTGTCAACTGAACTGTTACGTCGCGTCACGTAAAGCATCAGTAAGCCATTGTTACAATGTAAATATTGTCTTACTGAAATATCGAGATATCAAAAGTCGTTAAATATCCACCTAAAATTAAACGACGCTGTAATAAATATAAAGTACTTTTTAGAAAAACACGGCGCTAATCTTTAAAACTAGATTTTCCTTTTTTTTATCCTTTCTGTTTTTCTTTTTAAGGTGAATATATGCGAATCACCCCGATGGAAAATTCATTTATATTTACAGTTACAATGTACAACTATTACATACACAAGTGATTTTATACACAAGTGAAAAATGACGTGATGCCTTTCCTCTTACCTGATATTATTTCAATTTTACCTAGTGTATCATTTTGTGGATCTTCAGGATCTTTCCCAGACGTTGCTTTGCCGTTTTCATTCCCTTCTTCGGCTTGCGTTCTGCAAAAATTCGATCGAACAGGATTATAACCGGACGATCTTAATCCACAACAAAAGCCATACAAGTAATAGGCACGTATAAAAATCGAGATACTTTACCAACTGGAACTGGTGCCGCGAGCTTCGCTTTGACGTCCCTTAGTCTGTTAGGACTCGTTAAGATTGATCCGCATCCTATGGACGATTTGATAACATTTTCAGACGGTGCAGTGGACGTGGTTCCTCCTCCTACCGTGCTAACCGCAGGATCCTTTTGCTTCCTTTTATTGTACGTCCGTTTGGAAGTACCCTGATGCACGCGTAAAACATAACGTGAGCCATTAACCATCCTGGTTTAGCGACGAAAATGTAAGAGGAAAATGAAAATAATGAACGAACATAAGAAGAAAGATGCACAGAAATGAATCACCAAGAACAGAATGTTTAAGAATATTTTCTACGGATTAATGGTAGTAAGCTACAACTGATCGTTAAGTGTGTACGACGGAAAGGAGAACGAGAGTGCGTATAATTGCAGCATTGGAAAACAAGGAGACGCATTCACAGATCGCAATGTCCACGTAACGGTAACAAGATGCTTCGCAACAAAGATTTCACTCAGATACATAGCCCTTGCTACATAGTGAAGCGTTAAATGCGCGAAATATACTCGATGAAGAACATAACTATAACTATAAGAGATACTCGTGATCAAAGAGCTACGGAAGGAAAAGTGAAGCACTAAAAGATCTTTAGATCGAACTGTAATGTGATCGAGAAATGATGCCTACCAATTTCTTCTTGGTAATCTTGTCCATGTCGTTATCCAGGTATTCATCCTACATGAAATGTATATGCAAGAAACACGGAATTATGATATTTAGGGAAGATCGTAAGCGATAAGGCATTTATCGAATGGAAAGCAATAATGAAAAAAGAAAGAATGAAAGTACAACTCTACATAGTTATGTTATGAACATCTGACGCGTGATCATAAATCGCATTCTGGATTCTTTAATTCGTATATGTCTGTGAGATTTATCATAATTTATATGATATATAAGAATAAAATGAAACACGTTCAACACATATCGCACGAAATAACAATCAACTCACCGATTGTTTCGCTCGCTTCGCCGCAGCCGCTTCCAAGCCTTTCTCCACGGACGTCTTCTTCACGCCTTCTCGCGCCGGCCGATTCGTCTTCGGCAAAAGAGGACCCACTCTAGCCTTTGGGTTCCACGCTTCGTCGATCTGACTTTTCGCCTTGGGTTTGAAAATGAACTCCTCGTCGTCGGACGCGTCTAGAGCTGGGTAAACTGCAAGCGACGAAAAATGTTAACTAACGAAAACTTTTTTTCTCAAAGATGTATATATATATATATATACATACATATAGATGTATATATATATACATATAGATGTGTGTATATATATATATATATATATATATTCACTACCAGAGATATCTCAACTATTTAAAAAATCATCTCTTCGGAGTATACTAAAATCCTTCGAATAAGTGTCTGAACATCTCCGACTTTTTGGTAAAAAATGACCTTTGATTTGTCACTAGAATGTCTCTATCTATAAAGAGTGTCTACAATGTATTGAGTTAAGACATATTTTTCTGAGAATTATGTGATTCTATCTAATATCTTATTACATATAATACTATTCATAGAAGAAAGTTATATACATTTTGGGCCTATTTTACCTTGGACCTATGTTGATTTCCATACTATTTAATGAATTTTTGCTTTACTAATGTGTAATTCAGTATGTTTACCGTCAGAGATAAGAATTCTAGCAGTAAACACAATAAATTATCATATTAACAAATCGAAAAAAATCACTGAATAAAACCCTGAAATCGACATGCTGAAATCGAAGGTAAAAGAAGTCCAAATTACAGCACCTTTCCTTATATATAAAAATATATTTTTTAATTTCTTAAAAATTAAGTTTTTCTATTATTGTCACTTATCTTCCCCCATCTTGGAGTGACATTTAGTTATAAATAGAGTCCTTTTGTTTCCACGATTCTCAGGTCCGCCAATTTTGGTTAAAAAATAAGGAATTAGACCAATCAGTAAGAAGTCGAAGATGTTCAGACTCTTACCTGACGGACTCTTGAATATACGTACTGAAATCGTCATCTTGATGGACCTTGTCGATATTTTCTATCGACTGATCGTCGTCATCGTCGGTGTTGTCGCGTTGCGTCTTGGCGGATCTTAAGGACTTCGCGGGGTCGCTACTCGTTGTCGAGTAACACTGCTCGCTGAACGACAACATGCCGGCGATCGCCTCCCGCGTGGACGGTGACGCCCTGTCAGAACTGATCGTTTTCAATTTATAAATACTAAGACATCAATAGAAAGCAAATTCACTCCCCTATATACGATTATAAGCTAAAGAAGAAATTTCCTAATGAAGCATGTCGACTACTCGAGCGTTCACCGACCGAAGCTTATTAACTATTCACTGATATCGATTGAGATCAACGTTATCAGCGCAGAATAAGTGGATCGCTTTAAAATCTAACAATATAAATATCATTGCTCCATCGACAATAGCAGATTAAATTACCCAGTGGGAGGTGGCATAGGTTGATTGTACTGCGGGATCGTCGAGGGCCTGAAATGATTTTACATCACGTGAGTATCGCGGGTAGACCGGTCGACGGCAGATCTGCCAGACCGTAAACTTTTCGAATCGTAATTCACGTGATTTTTAAAAATGCATTACATCAGAACGCAATATTTCTAACACGCAAGCAATCAGCGATCGGTTCTACTTATTATTCTACATATAAAAGTATTAAGGTGATATCGAAAAGTGAATGCTTTGAGATTATTTCACATCTCATATATTGAACAATATCAGAATAAAAAGCACAGAAACAAGTATTACATTCATATAGCGTGATGTAAGCTCTCCAATATATGAATGAACAACCTAGAAATCTCACGATCTGGCAGCTTGACGGTGTATTCGTTATGTTGCGGATGTTTATACATACGCGACGTCTATCCTCTGAGTGCCGTTGCCGAGTGTGTATACGGACGCTTTCAGCAGTTCCTCTATGCCGTTCTTCGGCGTGTCGTTCAGTATGTCGACGTTCCCGTCGTAATCGTGCTTGAACTGCTTCGACGGGTTCGCCCGTGGCGTTCGTTTCCGCTTCTGCGACTCGTCTATCGTGAATCTGCCGTAATCGCTCTCGTTGCTGCCATCGTGGAAGTCGTACACGGACGTCTGCTTCCATATGAGCGGTGGCTGCTGCGGCTGCTTCACAGTTTCCATCGTCGTTTGATCGGCCGTTGCAACGTTCCCGTACACCTTGATGTTGTCGTTTGTACTCCTGACAACCTCGTTGTTGCCGAGCTTAAACCTGATCACGGTCGGGCTCTGTTTGCCCGGTTTGGACGCTCGCTTGTTACCGGCGGCGGCCGCTTTAACGTTAGAATACGCCACGGGTTTCGGCAAGGTAAGTTTCAACGGTGGCCTGTTGTTCGGCCCGTCGACCGCCGGCTCGGTTTTGTTGGTCTCTTTCAGCGTCGCCTTGAACGGATTGTCGATCAGCTTGTCGGCGAAATCGAAATCCACAAAGTCCTTGTTCAACGGCTTTTTCTTCTTCCGTTTGCTCTCGCGCTCCGGCTTCGGCGGGTTCAGTGATATTAAGTAACGTTCCGCGTGTCGTATCTCCTTACTGAGCTCCTTCAGCAGTTTCTGGCTGTTTATGGTGTCCGGTATTTGGCCACGACTAACCATGCTATACTGAAAATACACATAGTTTCTTAATATTCCGTTCTCGTTAGGCTTTGTGCGCTCGTTAATCGAAGCTGAATGTAACGTTCTCAACTTACATCCTTGTCTGTATTCCACTGCTTGAGAATGCCGAGCAACGCTTTTATACCTTGCAGATAGTACTGTGGACATTTCTTACCCCCGTTGTTTAGTTCTTTCAATTCTGCGAGCATCTTTTTAGCCGCGAACCAATTAATTGTCTCGAATCCGGGATACTGAAATTTCGCGGGGGTCTTCATCTTCCTTTCCAGTTCGTATATTCTGCAAATTTCACGCAGATGAGACGAATTAAGAAGAGTGCTCTTTAATCGATTGTGATCACATCTACTACCTTCGGAAAAACCTGGAAAATCTAGAATTCTTAGAAAATTTTATTGGAAATCGGGGAATTTTTAATGGAATTTTTGTTATGCATTAACTTTTTGTTAATAATTTTAAAAAATAAAATTTTACAGTTGTATGCAATATAAAATTTCATATTTGAGTCTTTACAATTTCTTTCAAAATGTTTAAAATTCATTCATTGAAAGTCGAATGATTCTTAATTTTATTTTATGATTTCTAAACTTTTGTGAATGGAAAATATAAAGGACTTTGCACAATAAATACAGTCTGTCACACAAGAGTGTCGTCTGCATATCTGGAAGAGAAATTATAATTTTTAAAAAACTTATAAATTGATGTAAAGTGTATTAAAAGCAAAACACTATTACGCATTTACTTAGTAAGTCGCCCAGTCTCCATTATTCTCGAGAATTCGCTGGCACCGTTTCGGCATCCTTTCTACAAAATTTTCCGACCCTTCAACGAATATCACAGTAGTAGAGCCTCCTAGTATTCTCTTGAAGCAGTTTAGCCGATGCTCTTATGTAACAGACTGTACATATTCATTTGCAAGATACATTTAAAAATATCTTCACTTTACCTAAAATCTTTAACAAATTTCTTGGAAAATCAGGGAAATTTCAGGGAACTTTCAATTTTGTGAGTAAACATCCTAGATCACGTTAATCTCCATGTACTCACTGTATCTGCATTGGAATGTTGAGATTGTGCAAGAAGTTTCCGCCAAAGACCAAGGAATCTTCCAGCGTGAACACAGCGTGTATCCAGCCCGTGGGGATCATCATCGTCTGGCCCTGTTTGAGAGTATATTCGTAACACACATCAGCCTGGTCCCCGAAGAAGGTGTAGCTCTGCGTCGAGTTGCACATCCACTGCTGGTACAAGTGTAAGTTCGCCGGCGTCGGTTTGATGAGATAGAACTTTTTTTCCCCACGCAACACGTGATACCACACGGACGTGCCACCGAAGTCAATGTGAAAGTCAGTGAAACTGTCTCGAGCGCCCATCAAGCAGTACTTTTGCACTTCGGGTCGCTTCATGTCACTGTCCTCGGGCCAGTCGCATGGCCAAACCGAGTTCACCCAGTCCAGCTTGCGCGCGATACACGGCGCTTCGATCAGTGGCGAAAGACTGCAATGTTCATATTCATTGGTTAGCGAAGCATATCTTAAAGAATACTTACAACGTCAAAGCAATAGATATCGATGTACCCGGTATTGGAGAATTCGAGACTTATGACATTGAGTATCCTTGTACTTGGACGAGTAGGAGAGCTGAAATATTCTATAAAGTCTCTTAATTTCATACGTATGTTACTTTGTCTAGTCACATCAATCACATCCATGAACCGATCACCACCTAAAAATCACGGTAATGCTAAGATCAACTTTATAGGAAATTTATGTAATATGAAACAAAATGTTTTGCATAATCGAGTGGTCATTTTTTAATCAAGATATTTTCACACTATCTCACCTATATAATTCTCAACATCAAAGACACTGAAGCTCGAAGGTGGTACAGTCATATCAAGACCCTCTTTCTCATTAATAACGATAGGATTTTCAAAACCGTTTGTTTGTAAATATTGAAGAGTCAATTGCTGTCCCTTCAGGAACTTGACAACTTCCTCAGACTTCTCAAAGCGTCTGATTCTTAGTTCCCGTAGAAACACGAGAGTTCCAGTTTGGATGGCTTTTAAATCTGCGTCTTGTTCAGTATAATCGTGTCTGTGCCAGTTTGTCCTGACTTTCACTGCAAGACAAAGTAGATGTGTTAATAATAAAAACAATTTTCTTTGAAAGTATATATAAAGCATTTATAACAATAACGCAATCTTACTGATTGAAGAACCGCATATAACTTGACAGCGTGGACAGTGGTACTTGTCGAAATCTATGGCCAAATATTCCTTTACCTCTACACATCTGAAAGAGAATATGGTAAGTTGTGAACTCTCCACAGGAAAAACACAATAATCACACACAGCACGAGGCGAACGCAATGCTAATAGACACTGCAAATAGATGTAAAAATTTGCAAGTTGCAATGTACACATATATAAACATAGGTTCGATCAAACGAGGTAATTTCACAGGTTGCTTTAATTAGATGAAATATCCACTGATAATGTGAAAAATACGCATGGTACGAAGGCCAAATAACACAGGTTACAGGTTATGTCAGTATCAACAAAATGTTGTTTACGATACAATACTAGCGAATTAGCGGCACATTTTACGCTCATTGTTGAATTTGACTAAGCGGAGGAACCTCAAAGTATAATTCAGTGCAAAAAACGCTTAGATTAAAGGAAAATCACGGAATTTCAGTGTCACTGTGGTCGAGTGTCATCATGTCGCAAACGCAAAGTGTCTCACACGTATTTGAATGAATCCGCAGGTACTCACTCGCCGTGATACCATTCCTTGCACACGTCACATTGTATCATAAATTGCTCGGGATCGTAAGAGCGGCCGCACAAGCAATACGTAACTGGTATCTCCATTTTTTAGTGGTTATTAATATTGAGTACCGTGGCACACGGTTTCGTCAACATTGGGTAGTACGCAGTGTTGCTACATGGAGGAAGACGACACGCGCACGCGCAGTGGCGCGCGCTTTAGCAGACAGTGAACAGTGCCTTTTGATAATCAAGATCCGACAGCCTGTGTGAAACACAGGTGTTTAACTATAATATTCTCCGCGGCCGACCCTCCAGTCGCACTATTTAAAAATAAGGCCGATATTCATGGTCAGATCTTACATTCAAGACCGTCTTAAGTTCATCTTCAGATGCCTCATAGCCAATGAAATAAGCCGTGTAGCATATGAAGATGAACTTAAGACGGTCTTATATGTAAGTTCCGACTAGGGCTGATACTCATAGTCGAATCCTATATTTAAGACTGTCTTAAGTTCATCTGCAGATGCTATACGGTTCATTTCATGGGCTACGAAGCATCAAAAGATGAACTTAATATGGTCTCAAATATAAGATCTGACTATGGCTAGTTTTCACAGTCGGATTTTATATTTAATCTTAAGTTCATCTTCAGATGTTTCGTAGCCAATGAAACGAACCGAAAAGTATCTAAAGATAAACTCAAGTCGGTCTTAAATACCAGACTGTGAACACCGGTCTATATTTTAGTCCGAGCATAGAACATTCTGACTCTTCTGTTACGAGTCGCTATCGTCCACTAGCGGCCGAGGTCGTAGTATGACTCAACGATTAATCAACCAAACCTTCATTCTTTAAAGTAACACTGTCCAATCATAGAGCAAATGCCCCTTTTAATTTTAAATACAACTTCACGACAAAGCGAAGGATCTTTTTAGTTCTAAAAGGGGCTCTTTATTTTCAAGTAGTACGATTCAACGTCGGATTAAACGAATTTTGTATCCTTCAGCAGCAGAACAGAACGAGTAGGATCTTCTTGTCTTTCTTTATTAATGAGACGTGTTCTCCTTTTTACTCCCGACGATGCTACTGAAAGATAAAGATCCTGTACCTGGAGGTGATTCATCGCCGGGTTATTTCTCGTCACACGTAACGTGTGCCGCATCCTCCGCACAGGAGTATTAGTCGTCAACTCGCGCGAGCAGGATGGCTCCGTCATTTCTTCCAGATGATTTTTGGAACAGGTGCACTGTCCGTGTCTATATGTATATATATCGGATGTCGGACGTCAGTGTGAATCTCCCATGAGTGTTGCGTCCGATATCAGCTGCGAAGGATTCTGCGATAGTCCTACAACAGCCAAAGATAAATTGTTACTTGGCACTGACAGTATCGATCGGCAAATGTGGACGTTTCGCGAAAATAATCGGCCGCTTACAATCGCCTAGATTGACAGTTCATGTCTGGTATGTGTGTACATACATTCCGACATTGCTTTATCTCTCGGCGACCCGGCAATAACCAACGATAACGATAATTTGCTTTTTTTTCTTCGTAGTTAATATTCTATCGTTCGATAATTCATACTTCGCAATGCCACTTGACGACATCCTAGAACCCGATACTTTTTAAATGTCTTACCGGAAATAGAATACTGAAGATAAGAGTGAAGAAGAAAAACATAATACTGTATCTAGGAAAGAGACAGATATATATGAAAGGAGGGAAAAATGCGTTATCGTCGCCAGAGTGAGCGCTCAAGAAACAAACACCATTTCCTGTAAACGGCATACAATTACCTTGGACAATATGTGAGGAAACTATTATCAGAAGATTAGAAGAACAATCACAATTGCATGATGCATGGAATCTTATGAATCATTTGTACAAGATAAGATAGTTGAGGATTGCGAGTGTTGAATTGGATTCAACTGATCAGTTTTGCAAGCTAAGTCAGACGGAAATTTCATCTTGAAGATTAAAGATGTCGGGAGGAGAAAGAAAGAAGAGGGGCTGCGACAGGGGGCAAGGATGGGAAGAAGCTGGTGCAGAATTCTATCAGGAGAGCTATCCGGCAGCTATAGAAGCCGATCTGCAGCAGGCCTTACAGAGGGACCCTTCACACATAGCTACTTTACTTCCTAGCAAGAAGTCTCGAGTTGGTGAGTTACAAATTGTAGAACACACTTGATGAATACATCAGCTAGTTCGCTATCACTTACCTGTGAATGAATTCTCTCCCCTATACTTTACGTTTAACACAGCTACAGCCAAACGAATCCGAAATGATACGAAGACAACATTGAGGAGGCGTACGAGCACCAGATCGCGTGGTACAACCACTTCGAGGCGTATGTCGACCAATATTCACGATGCAGCAGTTTCTACATTACCGGACTTGTCTGAGAACTTGTCCAATGAGGAGCGCACCTGGGAGGAGATCATGCAAATCAAAGCCATGCCCCTGCGAATGTCCCAAAAAATACAGTTGAAGAATCAATTGCAGGTATTTGCAACTTATCTGTCACAAGTATACCCAGATAGACGTATTTTGGTACATTGTCTGTATCGAGTAGTGTGTGAAGATGCGTCCTCATACGCCAAGAATTTTGCCAATATATAAAAGAAATCATCTGATTCCATGAAAATTGCAGCGATATTCTGACGTCATAAATATTGCTGCTTATTTTGCTCGAAAGAGAATTCAATTAATCAGGAATTATTGTAGTTAATAAGAATACTTTGATTCAACTTAATAAATGAGCATTTCTTACGCCACAAGCATATTTTAAACATGTTATATTGCAATGGCATCACAAAGTATACATTAAATGTTTGCATACGTTCAGTACTTCTATCTATCTGGGATAGTAAGTATACATGATATATATTGTAATGCTTACGACACTTACAATCTTGCACCTTTCAGAGCGCCACAAAGTTGAGACTCCAGGGCTTCGAACAGCTCAAGTGGCAGCGCAGGAAAGCTTGGCAGCAATTTCGCATAAGGCTGAAAGAGGCGTATTCCAAGGTAGATCTGTGGAACGACAGTCTGCAGAAGATCGGTGGGAACTTCGGCATGGGAATAGTAGCGTACTTTCTGTTCATCAAGTGGCTGATGTACATGAATCTGCTGCTGTTCGCCATCATATTCCCGCTGATCGTGTTGCCCGCGATCCTGCTACAGACGCCGGAGAACGAAGCGTGCTCCAACATTACTTCCGCCAGCGTGGCGTGCTGCTCCGAATTGTACAAGAACATGACCGACAAGAGTAACAGCATAACCGACCTCGTGCAGGGCGGCGGTATTCTGGAGTACACCCTGCTGTTCTACGGCTCCTACACGCACAAGATCTACGAGAGCGTGAGCGCCAATTTCTACTACAACTCTTCGTTGTCGTACATCTGTGTCATCATCAGTGTCTTCATCGTCAGTCTGGTGGCGATCGTACGGTCCGCCGCGAAGGGCTTCAAGGAGCGCGTCGTGGAGGGCGAGGGTCAGTTCTACCAGTACTGCAACCTGGTGTTCGGCGGCTGGGACTATTGCATTCACAACGAGAAGTCCGCGGGTGTGAAGCACAAGGCGTTGTACAACGAGATGAAGGCGTTCCTCGAGGCTGAACGGATGGAGGAGGAGAGGAAGAACCGCACCAGGGAGGAGAAGACTAAGCTCTTCTTCATACGGCTGTTCGTGAATCTGCTGGTCCTGACGGTGCTGAGCACCTGCGGCGCCTTCATCTACTACATCATCGACTTCTCGTTCAACCAGTTGGCGGCGTACTTGGCACGGGACGTCGAGACCTCCAAGATCATCCGTCTCTTCTTCGAATTCCTGCCGTACATATGCATCGTCGGCCTCAACGTGGCGATCCCGTTCCTCTTCCGCTACCTGGTCGCCCTGGAGAACTACAGCCCATCCTACGTGGTCCGTGTGACCTTGTTCAGAACGGTGTTCCTCCGACTGGCCTCGCTGGTCGTTCTGCTCACGTCTCTCTACAGACTAGTCGCGGACAAGATCTCAGAGCACGAGTGCAGCAAGAACAAGCAGCCGTTGTGCTGGGAGACGTTCGTCGGCCAGCAGTTCTTCAAGCTCTACACCACCGACCTGTTCATCCAATTCTTCATGACGTTCTTCGTCAACTTTCCCAGGTCGTTGGTCGCACGGCACACCGAGAACAAGGTGCTGCGCTTCGTCGGCGAGCAGGAGTTCGACCTGCCCAAGCACGTGTTGGACATCGTGTACCTGCAGACGATCTGCTGGCTCGGCTGTTTTTTCGCCCCGCTCTTGCCAATGGTCGCCACGATCGGCACCTTCCTGTTGTTCTACGTGAAGAAGTTCACGTGCCTGGTCAACAGCACACCGTCGAGCAAGATCTATCGCGCCAGCAGGTCGAACTCGCTCTTCATGTTCATCCTGCTGGTCTCTTTCATTCTGGCGATCATACCGGTCGGATACTCGATTGCGGAGATCATGCCGTCGAAATCCTGCGGGCCGTTCCGCGGCCTCGAGTCCGTGTGGATGCTGCTGATCATGACGTTCTCACGGTTCCCCGACTGGCTGCAGTCGACCTTGTTCTTCTTGGGCACTGCTGGATTCGGCATACCGGCGTTCGTCGTCCTAACGTTGCTCCTGTACTACTACTACGCGGCGTTGATCGCGAACAAGCACATGGTGACGGTGCTGAAGAATCAGCTGGTGTTGGAGGGCCACGACAAGCAGTTCCTGCTCAACAGGCTCAGCGCTTTCATCAAGCAGCAGCAGGATCAGAACAAGTTCCACCAGGAACAGAACACCGAGCTAGGCACGTTCCAGCATGTATAAAGAAAAAAGGAGCGAATGTAGCGTAAACTTGATTTTAATGTTCTTACCGAGTGTACAAATCCAGCGGGGACACAATGGGACCGTCCTCGCGACTTGCCGGGACTTGGTGAGAAACTTGCTGTCCGGTTCGATCGAGCGACGATTGTTTGACGATTTACTTGTGAAACGTGTAAGACTGCATCGATTTTATCTCTTTTTTTATATCTCATAGAGCCAACCGACCGCGGTGGCATTTACAAAAACGTTTTTGATATTCCATATTTCATTCGCGAATCGGAGAACGACGGGGAAACTTCTTGAAGTGCGTGTACACCTGGCGAACGAACGACGAACGAACTGCGAATGCAAAGTTTCATTGTTACATTTTGACAGGGTTGGGAAGTAACGCGTTACTTGTGACGACGTTACTATTACTTTTTTTTCAGCAGCGATTTGGTTATTCTTTTCATTAGTAATGATAATGGTAACGAATATAATCGTTACTTTCGTCGTTACTTTACATACCTGCAATACATAAAACGAACAAAGCGAGTCCTAAAAAAGATCTTCGAAACTCGGTGAAGAAATAATGACTTGTTACTTCTTGAGTAACGATGACGGTAAGGAGTTACTGTTTTCAGTAGGTAACGAATAACGGTGATGCTTTATATTTTCTTTCAATAAGTAATGAGTAATGGTAACGAGTTATTTCTCAAAAGTATTTTTCCTAACTCTGCATCTTGAAAAATGCGTATGTCGTAACAAATTCGAATAGTTTGTGGCTGATTTGCTCGTAAAGTGCGTTATCGGATAGTTCTGAAGAAAATTCGTGCGCGTTTAGACACGAGACACGCTCGTTGTTCGTTCGTTCTCCGAGGTGTGTATGCACCTTTATACGCGACCGACATTAGCAGGGACAATACCAAAGATTAATTAATACGCTGCCGATTACGGTGTTTTGTATTTCACTCGCATACTCGGACACACTGGTCGCAGCCACTGCCAAAGCAAGAGCGTTAGTTTCCGACGAGCGAGTTCGGCGAGATTAGTTTCGAATTTGCGAACCTTCAAGACGGGACATATCTGACGTTCTTCTAGTTTCGACTCGACCGTATCGCGTGTACGCGAAGAATATACACGTCTGAAATCAGGGTACAAAGAGAAGCAACGTTGTCGCAAGTATTACGCAATAGTTACAGGTTAAAGGAGAATCGTGACTTATTTATTCGTTAGCTTCGTATGATTTAGCAGACGGTAGATCTGTAAGATCGCAATCCGTACGTCGCAATGAAACGGACGCGATGGGGAGATCCGACTTGGAGCGTAACATACTCGTCGGACGTAACAATATTATAAGCTAATGTGTGATCATGTATGTTTAGCTTAGTGCACTAACAAGTAACGAGACTACGCCTCCGTAACGGCGAGCATTTACTTCCTCGACTTAACGAGTAAATGTTAGTGAGCTTTTGCATGAAAGAAGAAGAAAAAAAAAGAACACAAACACACATACACACAAGAAAGAAAATGAAACAGTGATACGCAGCGGACCTATTTTTAGAGTAGCTCTACTTTAGAGGAACCTGTAATGTTACTGTAAATAGGTCCTTTAGAACGAGAAGTTATTTTATTAGCGATACCTCTACGAAACGAGCAGCAGAAGAAGTATCACTATGACTAAACTGTATTTTGTTATAATTTATTATTCTGTTGTAACGAAAGGCTGAATTATTTTAGAGCGTAAGAGCGCAGGAACTTTTGTAATTTCATACACGACGCTCCGTTTTCTGATCGGTTCTACAAAAAATCTCGTATACCTCAGTATTGCAATGCCAAAGAGGGGCACCCCATTTGGGGACTCCCGCGATAATTTAAATGTTACGTTTTTCTACTGTAGCGTGTTAACGTGAGATAACGCGAACGAACATACTCCGTTTAAGATTATGCCCGATTTACTCTCCTCCACACTGCCAACAATTCTACGCAATCCTGCGGAAGTGATGATGTTTTTTACTTCAGTGTACTTTGAAAAATCAATTCTGTAGGTATCACACGCGCACATGTTCAATACAGCATGCTGTGGGAAAAATCGAGCGAATTCCTTGGCCTAAATGATTGAACGTGTACCGCACACCTCGAAGAATGCATTTGCAAGTCGCACACAACTGTACGGCCGTGTATAAGACGACATATACGGAGACTCAGATATTAAGTACACATCTTCCATTAATTTACAATGAATATTGTAAGCTATCGATGGCACTAAATGCATTAATATAAAAATATAAAAATCGTATAAAACATGATAATCGTACGCAAGGGAGGTTTCTGCCTCTGAAAAGATAAGCAATGACTCTACAGAATTCATTCCTTTACACTGTCATTGTATTAAACGAGATCGCACAGATACGCCTAAATAGGAAACTTTTCTTCGAATGTCACAATTAATCAAATTATCTTTAATATCACTGCTATCTCTTTACACATCTTACAGCCATAGATTCTTACGCATATATTATATGCTCATCATTTGTGGCGTGTTCATCCATTATGACGCTGTAAAAATAAATCTGTTACACGAAATATACCTTTATTGTCTCTTCCTTTTCCCTGAACTCGCGGAGTATAAAAATATATTATCAAAAACAATATATATGTTTTAGATCTTCAGGTTCATGCAGTTGCATTTCTCTTGTGGCACTCATGTTTCTGGTGCATGTAACTGGAAGTTAACAAGGAAAACTGTTAGAATAGCCTTACTGGTGACTGGCAAAGTACAAGTATGCACTGAGAAGCTATTTACAGCATCGGCTATGTCGATCCAATCTAAAGCTGCTGAGAGAACATCATTCTTCGATGGTATCCTGTCGTAGTTCCAGTATATAAATTGTGAGAAGGTTCCAGTACTGTACAAATTCCGACTTTTACCTTCAGCTTCTGTCTTTTTGTTTTCTATGAATGTCACACCCTTGTACCCAGCAGGTACAGCTACTTTCTTCCCTTGAAGCGGATAGCCACGGAAGGAACACTCGTAATCTACAAAAAGTAAAGGATGTATCAATATCATAACAGTCTCTTCTCATTTTTTTCGTATCATTATAATTATTATATATTTGGTTAACCTATCAAGCAAGACGTCATAAAATAAAAGAGGGTAAGTGTAACAACCTAACCAAAGTGTTTAAGGGAACGTTTGTAGAAACAGAATTTTATGACACGTCCTACGACACTTAATATTATAGATTTACGAGCTTTTAACAAGTTTCTAACGAGATATTGAAGAGATAGAACTCTCCTCGCTCCAACTCTACTCACGTTCATCATCCACTTGACGGATGTAAGGCTTGAAGAAGGAGGAGACCTTTGCCGACTCGTCCCCGTGGATTTTACACGGCATCAGGTGCACCTCGGACTCCTTCCGAACTGCTGGATCCTTATTAACGTGCAAACGTACAGCCATGTTAATTTAATACGACATGATGCAAAAATTATAACACGATAACTTTGCGCGGGAAAATGTTAATAAACCAGGTCGCAGCGATCTACTTGTCCCGTTCGAATTAACCAATGGCACGCCGCAGTTGACCCATTCAAATCGACCAATAGCTCTCGCGTTACCGCACTTGCCGTTGAAAAGCGGACATAACCTTCGTACTATTAATTTCAAACAGTTTTCCTTCAATTGGAACGATACGATATTTCTCAGAAATGACGTTTATATCATTGAAGAGCCGTATAATTCGTGAGATTAATTTAGGAGTCGAGCATAATTAGGAAACGAAGCTACGAATTGCAGATTCGTCCAATTCGCAGCGCATTTTGAATTCCCCGCGCTCTCCGGCTGCTCGCTCCGATTGGTCGCGGCGGGGGAGGCCGGTAGTGGGCAGCAGCCACCCTCGCGAGTGGAGAAAACGCGTCTCGGAGCGGGGCGTCGCGTCGCGTCGTCGGTCCGGCAGTTGATTGCAGTTGGTCGATCGCGCGTGGTAACTTTCCTCCGGCTTCCGTGCTTCTTCTTCCCAGTCTCCTCCCCACCTCACTGCCGAGAACGAAGAACGTCGGCGGAATAGCGCGCGCAAAGCGAACACGGTGAGAAGCGAGCGGGTACGCGCGAACGTAGAACAAGTGACCGACACCGTGGTCGATCGTCATCGTCGACATCGTCATCGGTGTGAGCGAGAGGGGAAATACGGTGCGAGCGTCGTCGAGAAGAAGAATAAGAAGCGGAAGAGGCAGCGTTGTGCGAGATGAGCACTCCGGTGAAGAAGGTGCCGATTCATCTGCAGGTGAGAGCGCGAATGTGCACAGCGGGGCGCCGCGCTCACCCCGGCGTTTTTTGCGCAGGGGTGAAGGAAACCGTCGCTCTTTCTATTCTCGTGCGCGTCGCGTGACGCCGCTCCTGTCGGGCATGATTGCGCGCGATGTCGCTGTCGGAAATCGCCTGCCACGGAAGTTGCGGATGCAACATGTCGTGTTACGGGACCGGGGGCTGTTCGAGCTTCGATCCAGCCGCGACGACGACGACGATTTGCGTCGCTCTCCAACGTATCTGCCTCGTAATGGTGGATTATTGAGCCTCGGCTCTCCTCGATGATTCCGTGATAAATGTTGTGCACGCGATCTAATAAGCGCGTTCACCATCTTCAAATCGCTGTTCGTGCCGGCAAATCACCGCCACTCGAGGTCTTTTCTAGTCACACGCCCTTTTCTCGAATACCTTCGGGTTTAATTTCACGGGGTTACGCGGCGGATAAGAGTTGTTCCATAAATTTTCCCCTCTTTGGGAAGCGGCCGGGAAAATTGAACAGGCCGGCGGATTGAAATTTCACTTCTGCACCAAAATCTCGTCGCCGGTTTCGGACGAGATCTTCGTGGATTATCGTGGGAGTCGACAAACAGCTTCAGTGTCGCGCTGAAACATTCCGAAAAACCCGTCAATTCTTGCCTCGAACGCCCGAAATGCGGCAGATCATTGTCTCCGGATTGTTGGGTTGCGACCTTTCATTGTGTTCACCGAAAAATCTCGTTGTCCCGAAGACTACTTGCGAACGTAAATTTCCTGAATAGTTCTTAAGCTAAATGTACAATTGTTGCATTATTGGGGGTCATTGATTCGTCGAAGAACTTGTTGCACTAACCGGCGTTTAGAGTCGAAGTTGTGAGCTTCAACTCGATCTTCTCTGTTAATAGCACTAATTGATATTTATTAAACATATCAATTTCGAAACACATTCCGGGAAAAAACTTTCTATATATAATTAGATATAGTTATATATGAAGCATCATATCTTTCTCTCCGTCTTTTCTCTAAAAAAAAAAAGACGTTTGAGTAAATATTTGCTAAATATTAGAATATTGCTAAGTATTGATTGTATTGGAATAGTTTATTTTATTTGGATTAAGTAAATATCTTGAATGTGGCACTTTTTTTTCTTTCAGTGTGCTACTTAAAGTAATATTTATTTAATCCAAATAAAATAAACTACTCCAATATTTCTTAGTTAATATCCATTTGAACGTAGCAATTTGTTTCAATGTGCACAGAATGTATCCATGTATAAAAATATATAATTATATATAAAGTGACACAGAGTTATATATAATTATATATTTTATATATAATTGTGTATTTTTATATATGGATATATTCTATACATAATTCTATAATATATATAATTTAATAAATTGAAAAAATTATCTAACTTGGCGTTTTTAAATTGCCCGTTGCACTACAGAAAGAGATAACAATTGCGCAGAAATAACGTGAGAGATTAATGGACACAATATGATAAAGAGAGAAAGAGAGATAGCTTAATCAAGCAAAGTTATCATTATGCAACGTTGCGTCGCAATCGACAAACAAAATCCGCATAAGAATCCGTGAAATTCACTAATCTCGCGTGCAACTCGGCATAATCAAGCGACTCATGAAGTCAACACCCGAGCATGATAAGGAGCATTATCGCGTCCCTTGCTCTCTGCATTAATCAACTCACTTATCGATAAATCCGTACCGTCTCGACCGGAGTATAAAATCGCTCAGTGTGGCGTAATCTGTGCTAATAAATCGGCGATAATAAAGCTCGTCGATGGAAAGCCGCCGGCATTTTTACACTTCGTTCTATTTGCGGCTCTAGACCGGCGCCTACAGCCGTGTAAATGTTTTATCAAACTCTGATTGAGAGCATAATTGGTTGCAGATTCGCACTTACAGATTGTCCGGCACAATCCCTCTCGTGCTAAGTACAAGTCGAGGAGTACAACCGGAGACCGACGAAGCTATGATTATTTGCCAAATAATAACGGGGGAACGGTGAACGTCGGCGGCTCGAACGACGTCGCGCCGTTTTCAATCCGAACCGATCGAACTTAATCGACGTGGGGTTGTACGCGGGAACTTTCGCAAAGCCGCGTTTATCTTATTGAGGTTATCATTCACGTACGTTGCATGTGTATGCGAAACTACGTGTAAGCTCCTCTAATCGGAGCGGCGTAAATCCGCGTTCGAAATTAATCGCAACCGACCAGAGATCAGCGGCCGTGCCACTTACTTTTTTCCGCTGCATTTCGAGTCGCACGCGGCCTCGCTCTTTTCACTTGACGGTGAAACATCCGTGCTGTACATCGTCGGTCTCGACTTTTTGACCTTCGGCCGCATATCAGGTGATTTTTAATCTTTGTGCGCAGATAATTCCTCACACGCTCGATACGCGCGATAAATGACCCGATGATGCAATGCGACTGATGAAGGCGCGGCAACGAGATCGTCCGTCGCTACGCGGATTCGTTGGTCAGCCGAGAGGTTCTGGTTTTTATATTTTTTTCGTTTTCTTCCTCTCGTTCTATTTCGGTTTATCTAACGGTTTCGTCGGACAAGCGGACGGACCGACTGTCGCGAATTTCGAGCCGTTACTCCAATCAGTATCAATGCAAGCTTCATAAGTATCTTATGAGGCGTGAAATTATCGGTCGCGCTCGTTCAATCAAGACGGCGAAAAGCTGCGGCTAATTCGTGCAACCGGTTCTCCCCCCCCCCTCTCCGGCGGTCCGATATTTCATCTATCGCGGCTGGATACTATATCGCGCGCAACCGTGCAAATTTGCGCGTGTATCAAACCGGAAAGAGAGGCATAGCAAGAATGTAAAAACCCGCGGCTCACGGATTTGCATCTTGTTTTGCCACTCTCGTGAATGATGCATCGCGGTTAAACGACGCCTACGGCAAGCCTTGGCAACTATTATTGTATTACGGAACTGTGTGTGATGTTTTGCGAAGGATATAGACCGAGAGCTCATAAGAGATGCACGCGTCAATATGACAAGAGAGAGGGAGAGAAGGAAAGAGAAATAAAGATCGCGGAATCTAAGGAATTGTTAGGTACGTCGTAGTTGTAATGTAAATATCCGCGACGCGGCCATCGAATTACGCGAAATGTAGGCCAATATTCGCGGAAATGATGTACACTTTATGTATATGTTCCTGTGACTTGCGTCAATATATGTGACGGCGACGAAAAAAGCCTCGTCATTAAGTCACGTCCGTATTGACATATTATTATTAGAGAGTCCGCTTCGTATTCCCATTCTGCACGGCTATTATGCGATGTACCTCGCAAAATGTGGCGCAACGTGCGCGCACACTGCTGTATGTCGCGTATAGCGGCTGCGACGCGAAAAACGAAAGTAATGTCCGTAGTGTTGCAAGGTTGCCGCCTTATTGATCGGAATGTGTCTCTTCTTGGCGCGAGCGCCAAGAAGATAGCCCATTTCGCAGATGAGACTGCGTCGCGATGTATCCGGCGGAAACAGTCCAACTTTTCTCCGCCCGACTTCCGAGCTGTCGAAGCGTTCGCGATTTGATACACGAGGAAGAGAGAGAGAGAGAGAGAAAGAAAGAAAGAAAGAAAGAAAGAGAGAAATCTGAGGGTTAGGCTCCCTAAGAGTATTATATACACGAAAATTAGTATTAATTCAAGATTTATATTTTCATACATAAGCAAGAATATATATTTTATATGAAAATAAAACTTGCTTACATAAAGAGATTCGATATAGTTACTCTAAAAATGCCCTACTTATAATCTTATATATGTTCATGAATTGAGAGGAAAAATATTGGATAGAAAAACGAGATCTTCAAATAATTGCATCAATATCAGGAAGATATCGTTTTTTCCATCCAATTTTTCTCTCAGTTCATGAAAATTACTCTTGAATAACTAAAATATGATATTTTCATCGAAACTATAGAATTTCTTCATGTAAACAAGTTATATTTTCATATAAGATTATATATTTTTGTTTACATATGAAAATATAAGTCCTGAATTAATACTAATTTTTTTTGTGTAACAAGAAGATGTGGAAAGAATGATATAATAAATAAAACGAAAGAAAAACAAAAAAAGTAAGAAGAGATACATAAATAGAAAAATCCAAAAAAGAAAGAAGGAGAGAAAGATCCGGTTGCGATTTGATATCAGTTGCAAAAGTTACGGATTTTGCACCGGAAACTATCATTTGGATCACGCTGCGATCCACGTGAACGTCTTTCTATCTTGATGACCAAGGAGCTTAGTGAAACGCAGTGACGGGGTCCTCAGTGTCTTGGCACTTCTGAGCGTCTAATTAGCGCGTGCCACTTAGCGCCGATTGAAAACGGAAAATGGAAACACACTGCCATGCCTCTTTCTCACCGGTTTCGCTGAAAAACGGAACAATCGTCGTCCCGTTAGACTCTACGACTGTTATCCCCCGAGCACTAACTGCATTTAGCAATCGTTTGGCGGGTTATCAGATTTGCGATTAACATGTTCCGTCGGACCTGCTTGTTATTATATGATATAATACCCGAAATAATAGAGTTATTTGCGCAACGCCCGAATTATCTAGACGTATCCGACTCATTTGAACGTGAGAAGCCGGCTATGGATTTTCCACCCGTAAGAATCACATCATGAGATGAGATAAAGCAGCGGGCTGAGGATCAATAACGCCCGTTTCAAGCGTCCCGTCGACCCGACAATTATCAATTATCGGCGCTCGCTTATCGATTTTCAGTTGCACGAGCAGTGTGCCTTTTTCTAATTCGAAACACTCCTCCGTGTTATAATAGCCGCGCAAAAATCTTTACCTTTCGCATCACCCACGATACTGTTTTCCGTTCCAGCTCGACGTAATTAGCGGACTGTCTAGTCGGAATTGGAGGGAAAAAACCAACAGATTTGGATGGAAACCAAAAGATTTGGTTTCGGAAACTCGCGCGCGATGCGCTCTGGTGGCCTCC